GAAGTTATATACAGGCACTCGAAACGAGGTTGAATAACAAGCCGGCCTCGGTAACGTCTGTGGAGCCCACGGGAGTTGTGGGGGTGGGGGATACCTCGGTACCTGCGGCCGGGAAGTGGTCGCCGTCGATCTCTCTTTGTTCTAGCATCGTCACCTGCCAACACCAAAAGCATCATCGTGAATTTTGGCTTAGCTTATCAAGATCTCATGCAGTTGCTATCCCCGGGCAGCATTGTCACTTGATAATATCAGGAGAAGCTTCAAACAGGAGTCCAATTCAATTTTAGGCGGTCAATACCATGGCGCCACGACTACTCCTTTTCGCTGGCGCACCGCCTCCTTCATCTCTCACAACACAATCTTGTACAATAACACAAATCGACGACTCCTTCGCTGAGTTTCTTGGGCTAGCCCCTCAAGGAACAGCTCCAATATCATCTCCAAGTCTCGCCCCGTGGCGTTCTCTGCCGCTGAACAGAAAACCGCTTCACACAGGGTTCAGCCAGACCCATAATATCAGCGTCAACCTCGCCAACCAATCCGAATTCTTCACCACGGCTGAGATTTCGTTTAAGGAACAATCTCAGTCTTTTGGTGATGAAGATCCAGAGAATGTGTTGTCGCAGTTCTATGATCATTCCCTAGCTTTACACAATTCCATTCCATCATCACAGCTTGATAGTTTCGAGGAGACGACATTTGAGGAGACATCGTTTATGACGACTTCGTCGACGGCACATTTGGATACGAGAGACACTGTTCCTTCTCATCTCTCTGACTTGGAGGATATACCGCCGGCTCGGAGGATTCTAGCTCTCAATCCCCAGACTGTCACCCTCAACATTATTGCCGGCATTATATCCATCGCACAGCCACGGACTGTCACAACGCGCTGGGGTCGCAGCCTCTCGTTAGTGGAGATTCTCCTCGGCGACGATACAAAGACAGGTTTCGCTGTGACATTCTGGCTTGCGGAAGAGAATAATGCAGCTGCTGAGATTAGTGCCCTTCGGCGCCAGGACGTAGTTCTCATGCAGAACGTGGCACTTCACGTGTTCAAGGACAAAGTCTATGGTCAGAGTCTCCGTAGGGGCATGACCAAGGTGAGTCTGTTATGGAGAAGGGATGGATCCGGGCTTTATTCGACGCGAGAGCTCTCCAAGCGCGGCCAGATGCACCCGCAGTTACAAAAGGCCAAGCAAGTAAAAGATTGGGTGCTCAAATTCGTAGGAGCTGATGTCGGAGTAAAGACGAGAGCTAGAAAAACACGGGTTTCATGGGACAGACCACCAGATGATACACAATGAGAAGTCTTCGTACTGTAAGACCACTTTTATCAACCTTCTATGATATTAGACACTTATTACTGCCAGCGCCAAATGCAACCGAGAGAAGAGAGACATCCGAGGGTATCTATGCAAAATTCCAATCGTCAAATTACGCTTCGATCCCACGATCCATTCAGACAGGCACAGCAGGCTCGGCCTTTCTGTCCTCACCGTCTGGGCCCTTCTTGACAGACTTCCATCGGAAGCACAGGCAAGCAATCAAGGCACAGGCAGCACAAGCAAGAGAGGTGTAAAAGGTGTCTCGGAGACCCTTCATGTACGCATTGAGGACAGCGTCGAGCGCATCAATGCGGCCCATCTTTCTCAGGGTATCCTCAATCTCTGAAGCTCCAGTGTTGATGAAGATGGTCGGGTCGATACCAACGTTATCAGCCTTTAGGGTGTCAATGAGGCCATTTTGGAAGACAGTTTGGCCCACGGCCACGAAGATGGCGCCTCCGAAGGCTTGTCCGAACTGAACAACAGCGGTGCCAACAGGAACCCATTCCTGAGGCAAGACAGTTTGAATGATAAGGACACCGATTTGGAAACCAGCACCAATGCCCAAGCCAGCAATGACTTGGTAGCCAAACCACTCCTTGAGAGGGGAATGCACATCGAGGGTTGTGAGCATGCCACACCCGACAGTGTAGAGAACCATGCAGGGGATGATGACATAGCTGTAGTAGCCAATGGCGGTGATGACACCTCCAGAGACGATAGAGCAGAGGACGGTCGCGAGCAGGAGAGGGAGAATCTTGATTCCAGCCTGGACGGCGCTAACACCCTGGATGGCCTGGAAGTAGAGAGCTGAGAAACGTTAGTTGAGGGTACAGCAGAGGTGGGGTTAGACTTACAGAGATAGTAGATGAGAGGGAAGAAACCGGCACCAAAGAACATGGCGAAGATGATAGCGGACAAAGTGTCCCGGTTCTTGAACAGACGAGGCGGGAGAGTTCCCTCATCGCCCTTCCAGAACTGGATGCCGATGAAGATGGCAATCATGGCTCCAAAGCCACAGAAGAGACCGATGATACGCGAGTTGTTCCAGGGATATTCAGCACCACCCCACTGCAGAGCAAGGAGCAAGCAGATAATGGCAGGGATGAAAATGGCGGCGCCAGCAAGGTCGAGCTTGCGAAGGCGATCCATGAAGGTCATGTTGATAGTGTTCGAGTCATTGCGGTTAACCTTGACAAAGAAGAAGACGATGAGCATGGCCAAGCCGCCAATGGGAAGGTTGATGTAGAAACACCAGCGCCAGGTGGCATGTTCAGTAAAGGCACCTCCAAGAAGAGGACCAGCAACGGAGGCGATACCCCACATACCACCGATAAGACCAAAGGCAAGAGGACGCTTTTCGAGAGGCACTGAAGGTGTGGTTAGTTATGGTCACGGAGCTAGTTTGCTGGTTTTGACGTACTGATGAGGGAGAGAATAACGATAGATCCGGAAAAGAGACCAGCCGTTCCAATCTTGAGGCGCCGTTAGTTAGGGTTCATGGGAATCGTGTAAGACAACTTACTCCTGCAATGGCTCGGCCGACAATGAAAGCGACAGAAGACGGCGCAACAGCAGAGATCAAACTTCCAATCTCAAAGATGAAGACGGCAGCGAGATACGCAATCTTGACATTGAAGTACTTGTAGATAGTTCCGTACATGGGCTGCAAAGCAGTGGTGGTAAGAAGGTACGAAGATCCATACCATCCAATATCCTTGACACTCTGAAACTTCGCTGTGATGGCGCCGAGTGCGGGAGCGATGATGGTCTGGTCAAGAGCAACGAGAAAGATGGCGAGACAGAGAGACGAGACGATGAGGGTAAGCTTTGCAGCGCCAGGGTACTGGGGCTGCTCGTCAGCGGCATTGTTGTTGCTGGCGGTCACAGAGCCAGCCTGCTGCTCTTTGTTGTCGGCTGAAGTGTCGAGGATGTTGTTGGATCCAACTTCGGTCTTCTCATCAGACGAGAGACGAGTCTCTTCGACCATTGCGTTGGTGGGCGCCGTAGCGGGTGTAGTCGTAGCCATGGCGATGTTCCAAGATTAAAGTGCTGTAAGGAGAGAAGAACAAGAAAGAGAAGAATTGGAATAGTTTATGTAGGAAGAATTAACGGTAGCGTAAGGTGAGGTAGAGTAGGTTGTTATGGTGGAGAGTGCAAACGGCCCCAGGCAACCAAGCGTGATTGTTTCGGGAAGGGAGAGGAAATAATGCAGCCTTCCAGTATCTGTTTGCTTCTTCCGTCGTTTGCAAGCAAAGAGCGAGGATAAGGTAGGTAGCTTACGAAAGAAAGAAAAGGGTTTGGGGATGGACGAGCTGAAGATAATAAATAATTAGGTCCCTACGTCAGGATCTGTCACTGACACTGCTCATAGGTGCCCCTTGCCATGTGATGGATGGATGCGAAAATCAAAGCACAAGCTTATCCCCCTTAGTCTCATTCTCGTGGAAAACTCCAAAACATCGAAATATCCGAGCACCAATATTAGATGCAATGTGATTACGATAACGAAATAAACGTCGTGGAGACTTAAGGTAGACGCGGCAAGGTATTCGTCCGTGTACCGGCCGGCGACAGCTGCAGCCAGTCAGCAGCCCAAGACATACACGATCAGCGCCTTTTTGCTCGGTGTCCCTTGTTTCTCCAGTATAATCGGGCTGACTCTGGTTGCGAGTTTGATACGATAGGCGAGCTGAACTGTCATGCACTCGCGTGGGTCGGACAAATCACCAAGGCCGATGTCCGAAGGGTGGCTTATGGTAGAGTCATTGATTTTAGATCCTTCTCTCGAGTTGTGAGGTTTCTCACGTTTGACTCCTGGTATCACAAGGATATCATGTGCGGTGACATCGATGACCGTTATAGACACACAACTCTTGAGCTTGATAGATGCTCATCTTACTCTGGTATTCACACTGATGAATACTGTACGGCTCCCTTCTCGTAAACCTCTACGAAAAACCCTTTAATGACCCATCTCCACAAAGCACGCTAAATATACAAGCCCGATCTTTGACTCCCGGTCCAGTGGCATAGATCCCGTGCCAAGGGCTGATCTCCCATTCTCAACGTGGTCTCGACTCTCGACCACTCTCTTCTGCCCCAAGATTGGCTCGTTCCCTCAATTTCCACTCCCTCGTAAAATGCTGCCCCGTTTCATATTGTTAGATCCACTTTAGGAGCACGTACCCACGTCCTACGGTCTACCGTGCATTTTCGGATACAACTCAATTCTCCGTATCTATCTCCGGATGCCCTCGGATCATTGCACTCTCTCGCGGACTTGCACGCGCTTTGTTCGAGGCCGACGACCGAACGAACGGACGGACGAGAGAGAATTTGTTTGTGCGTTGACTTTGACTCTGACTGACTCCATCTTCACACACGTTTTACACGTTACACGTTAGACCGGTAACGCCCTTGCATTGTATTGCCAGCCGTGAAACCTTGTCGTTTCCTTATCCGCACTCAGGGCCTATACACAGCGTCTTGTCATACAGCCTCTTCCTGTCGTGAACAGCGACAAACCCTACACATGCATTTTGTGAACAAACTGGCATCAATAATCGTAATTTACGTGATAACCTCATTTAATAACACCCACCATCTATCTGACCCTCTAACTAATGCTTACATTGCTGACTTGATATGCGTAAATATATGTATAAAAGCTTATGCTCGCTCTTCGGACTTCTCGTCTTCGCTCGTCTCCTCTGCGGGAACCCACACCAAAAGTCCATCCTCGTCGATCTTCATCCCTTCTGTCGGTATTATGCGTAGCACCTTTTGGAAATACTTGTCTCGCACCGTCAATTTCGGCCTTATCCATACTCCGTTGACGTGCGGTAACAACCGATAGGTTGTTGTCCGTCTCGACTGCGGTAACAGGTTCAGTGTTGTTTGCTTTGAACCTGAAAATGCAAAGTCCTCGCTCGGTTCCATGCTGAGACCAAAGGTAAGGAAGTGATTGGATGGGTTCTCGACTGTCATGTCCAGTTGCATCAACCCTGGCATGCCATCTTCTGCTTTAGTGGCGCAATACACCGATGCCAGCACTCGCGGCTCTGTGCCCAAAACCAGATATTTACCAACGGGCATGGTTGTAGTGTTGACAGCTCCGTCGCTGCGGTTCTGGCGTTGCCATCGAATGACAAATGCCAATTCGAGTGTTACAGGGTGTCGATCTTCCATCGTGAGCTTCTGGGCTATCAGATCGAACTGTGCCTCGTGCATCGTTTTGGGGGCAACAATGATGCCTTCATGTGACACATCCGATCCCTGGCTCACGTTGCATCTTGCACCACCAACGCATGAGACCACAGTGAGATCCATGCCAAGGACCTTCAAGTCCTCTTGGGCAAACGAGGCATAGTGGCACAGTAAGCACCACTTCTGTGTGAAGCCTCTGGCAACACCATCTTCCGTATCTCCCAGTCCCTCAGAGTCAAATAGACTCGGCCACGGTCCAGGGTGAAGTCGTGGAACCAAATCGTAATTTGCTTCAAATGCATTCACAACATTGACCTGGACTGTCAATAATTGCATGATCGGCGTTGCAACGTCTGAGTCTAAGTGGTACGACGTCTTCAAGTGCAAATCGAATGTCGTGGGGCCAGGTGCTGCATCTATATGAAGCACCATCTTGACCGATGCTGTGCTCTTTATGGCACCCAAAGGAAGTCCCAATATCTTGGCCTCTTCTGTGGTTGCTTCGGCGCTGCCCTCATTACCTTCCGTCACCACTCGGATTGCCGGTATTTCTTTTCCAAAGAGGTGAATATCCAGTTTAGCAGTAGCGGATTCGTCTTCGGCATTGAGCAATTCGACCTCTAACTCGATGGCCTCGTTTGCGTAGTACTGGGCTGAGGGTTCCAAGAGCTTGATCTCCATCTTTGGCGGTCGAGGTTGAATACGGATTGTGCCTGCTTCTGGGCGGCTACTTCTGGTTTTTGATGAGCCCTGAATGTACCAGCCAACAATAGGATCTGTGTCGCGAATTCCGATCTTTGCGTCCAGGTTGAAGCTTTCATTGCTGTGTGAGAGCGTTACAGACGAGGCCGTAGCAGTTCCTGGCTCCCTCAAAGGAATTCTCATTTCGAACACTCGTGTTTGGCCAGGCCGGAGTGTCAAGTTGGAAGTTCCTTTGAGCAGTGTCGGCAGTTCATCCTCAGACCCTTCGGCATAGTCCTCTTTCAGCGATAACGGCAGAATGGATATCTGGGAGGTCGAGTCCTCGTCCTCTGAATCCCCTTGCTCCAGTAATATTGGTCTGAGACTCCCACTGAACTCAACCTTCAATGACTCAAATGCGATCGGAGCAGCATCGAGAAACGTGTGCGATGTGAGCGCAAGCTGTGCCGTACATGTCTCGCCAGCCTTGCCCTCTTTATTCCGAAACACGAAAGATGCTGAAATGAACGAGCCGGTCTTTTCGTCGCTCAGACTAATTGATGACTTCTCCTCTGTTGTAATTCCTTCGAGTGATCTGGTAATGTCGTAATGCCACTGTGGCTGCCGCACGAACCCTGGTCATGGTTAGATATTTCCACGCGAGATTATAAACCGGATACTCACTGTTACTCATGAGCTCCCAGTCCGCAGCAACCACGAGGTCGGCACGGCGAGCTCCAACAGCGATTCTTCGCAAAGTCAAGCACAGGTCCTCTGATATATTGAGCCAACCCTCCGATCTGAACGCCACGTCCTCCCAGAATGGTAGTAGGGTCTCCACAGCATTATCCCATTGTTTCAGATTGGCGAACTCCCTTGCGCACTCCAACGATATCTCAGCCGTTACGCGCTTTTGCTTTCGAGCTCGAAATTGTGAGGTCGCCTCATTGAGACAATCAATGATCAGTTGTGCATGATTTACTCCTGTACCCGATAATGGGTATTCTTGGTACGGCTCCGGGCACATGTACGTATCGTATGCGAATGCCTTGCTGGCCACCGCTGATGCAGGAGTTGTATCCGGCGAATTCCTATCCTCCTCGGGCATCTGATACGCAAGCTTCCGGCGAGCCACAAGATGACGTGCCGCTATACGATACCAGTAGCCTGTATGGTGCAGCAACTCCCATGGTGACACTCGCTCGCCTAGGACAGACTTATCTGGCGGGACAAACAGTGCTCCCGTTGCTGGCGCCAAAGCTGGCAGACCTACTCTTTCAATCAAATTTGCCATGACTGTAGCCCACCGAGCTTCCCAGGCCTGCCATCCATAGTTGTTGGTCCCTCGTCCGCGTCGATCGACAAAGTCAGCAATCCGATCTCGATGCGAATGCCACATTCTAACAGCCAACGAAGTTTGGCCCAACCACAAGTGACATCTTAGGCACCGGATAGCTATGACATCCGCCAACAGTCGCGCCTCATTCCAGCGAGGGCTCCAACTGGGGATGATGTCCAGCACATCCTGTCCAAGAAGTACCTCGTACGCTTGTTTGAAAAACTGCAGGGCCGCATCTGTCTCCTGTCGAAATTCTGCAAATATGGCCGACTTAAAATCGTATCTGAAATTCCAGTCTGGGAGCGAAAGGGTCTGGGATGTCCCGGTGGTAGGTGGCACAGTCGGTTGAGGTGCTATTCCACGAGATCGCTTCTTCCTGGCATGTCGTCCAAGATCCCGGTAGTATTCCACGGCTGAAGTGTAAAGCACGCCCAGGACATTATCAACAACCTGCTTCAAGTCGTCCTGCGACTCCTGTGATGGGATGTAAAAGACCGACTTTGGGTCCAACGCTGTCCCTCTCCGTATGTTCTCCAGTCTCTCTTGAATCCCGTCGGCCAACGACAGGGGAGCGCCTTCGCCGTCCGCAAGCAGAACAATAGCTAGCCGTGTCCTGTATCCTGAACGCAATAAAGCACTCTTGAGGTTGTTAATATCGGACTTAATATGATTATCTTGAAGCGTCATGGAATTTGGGTCGTTCGTGAGGGGGTAAAAGCATAGGTACACGCTAGGAACGAGGTCCTGATGCTTCTTGATCCATTGCGCATCGATGTGACCATCCGGATATAGTGCCGATACTGGACTGAGCGGGGAGAATGGCGAGTGTAGAGTTGGGTGTTCGCTAAGCGGTTCGATATCTTCTGGGAGACGAGCTCGACGAGGTGGTAGCAGAAACGACTGTCCCGCATGTTAGAACAAGGCTTCGTGTAGCACCCCGCGCCAACCTACTCTTCCTGTAGTCCTAATGCGAAATCTATATGGCTCATTTCGCTCGAAAGCACTCCACGACTTTGCGCTCGCATCAACATCCTTGAAGTATTCCGCCAAAACCTCTGCATCTTCGCCCCCGATAGGTGGTAGCTCTGATCGGAGAAGGATGCTCTGTTCCTTCAGCTCGGCGCTCAATGGGAGCTCGTTCGTCTCGGAACTAAGGCCGGCAGCTACTAGAAGGGGGACATTGTGGTCCAAACTTCCCGTCGGATACCCATCCATGGTGGATATTTTGAGATGTCGAAGGCATGGGTTCGCGACGGCGAAAGTGAATTGAGCTTAGAGCTGATGTCGCCAGACGACGTTAGCCATCCTTGTCCATCGCAAATGCCCCTCGTTAGTGTAGCAGCCCACTTACATGGCTAAAAGACATGGAAGACACCGCCCAGTGATAATATGCCGCTCTTTGAACGCAGAAGAAATATAATTAATGTTTTCAGACTTTTCAAGCACCTTTAGAATCAAATCGACATGATATTCACCTAAAGACTGTCCCGGCAGCGATCATATGAATGGCTGGTTGTTAACGGCACCCCTGCAACACATCACGGCTCCTCCGGAACCGGAACAACGCCAACCGCCGAATCTCCAAAACTTCAAGATTCAACCTTGCAAGTTGCGACGCCAGCGCCAATTGACCTCGGAAATCCCCCATACGCACCGCCTCCGACCGACGAATTGCCCAACGAGTAATCCGATCGTTTCTGTCTCTAATCTCTCGCCATGAGACCTACACAAGCCCTATCGGTCGGCCGATACCGCCACATCAGGCTCACAACCAAGGATGTTGGAAAGGGCTTCTACAAGGGTAACCGCACTGGTTCCATGGGTCGACACACAAAGTACGGAGGCTACGTTATCGAGTGGAACAAGGTCCGAACATATGCTGTGCCACCGCTGAAGGACTTCAAGGTGAGAAGGGACGCATATTGGTGATTCGAACGGAAGACTAATCGTGGTGGAATAGCTTACACCTTTCGTGAGCCGACAAGTCAAGGCGGAGCCTGGTGACTACAAGGGTCTCGATAAGGGTCCTCAAGATCCTTACTTCTACGTTGAACAATGGAAACGATTCAACGGTGTGGATTAAACGAACAAAAAGGCGGCGGTCATAGAATTGGATGGTTTCTCAACAGAAGGCGAATCTAGAATGCCAGCTGGAGACTTGGGAATCTCTGGCAAGGCTGTATATACCCGTGTACATTGTACCACCATGTATGATTATGGACTCATTCGATCAATAACGAAAAAAACAGTTGAATACTCCTAATTTCTGTGGAATGATGACTATGTATGTTGATTACAAACGAAACAAATTGATCCTAACGATTGTGCTTTGGCACGGGATATCCTAATTGAACAAAACTGCACAATTGACTGTATCCGACCTTGCGCCAAAAAAGAACTCCTTTTTATGAATCCTCCTCTTTCTTAACCCGGGGCAGCTCCTCTTGAGCCGTGACAAATGTGTCCAAACCAGGCCGCTCCAAAGGCGTGGCAACCAAGCCTGGTTCGTCAATTGTACCATTCTTCTCTTTCTCAGTTCCGTTCTCTTGGTTATTCTCAACTGGTTCTGAAACCTGGATATTTGGGCTCATGGGCCTCGAGGTGGGCATGGCGGTAACATTCGACTGCAAGGTCTTCATACTGGCAGTGTCTGCCTCCCTTTTAAGACTGAATGGAACTGCTATGCCGTCAAGGAATGGTCGCTTGCCTGCGATCTCAATAGTTGGCGCGTCCTGAGACGTAAGCTGGGTTGACTGAGAAGGCTGAGTTGTTTCATCATCCTGAAAGCTTGGACTCATAGGTCGTGAGCCTGGAAGTTGCGTGACGTTGGACTGAAGCGTCATCATACTAGCCGTCTCGGCATCCTTATTAAGACTAAACGGCAGTGCGATACCATCGAGAAACGGCCTCTTGCCAGCTACGCCAGTTTCCGGCGCATAGTCAGGACTGAGTAGACTGGGCTTCGCAGCTTCTTGCTCCTTTCGCTGCTCTATGAGATGAGCAACTGGCATATCCTCGGTAATGGGCTGACTACCCGTCTGGTTTTCGTCCGTAACGACCTTGGTATGAGATCGGCTTCGTGCTCGGTTCGGCTGTGACCGTGATCTGTCCTGTCCTTCGATATCAGCAAAGGAGCGCGCTCCTTCGCCCTCAGCACCAGTGGCAACTCTTGTTTCTGGCTGTCCAGCTGCCTTCTTCTCTCGCTCAACGGTCATCTCGTCGTGTTTAGATCCCCACAGTGACCACATTGCCAGACCCCAGCTCTTCTGTTGTTTCTTGCTTCCTTCTACAAGCTTTGAATCAACACGGCGTCGGCCTGCCAATGCAGTTGGAGGAGGGCATTCACCAGGACCATAGTCATGGTAGCCGATGGCCATGTCGCTCACCATCTTTTTATGGACCTTGGCCTTGTTTGATGCATATCTATGATCCCACTCTGCCTTCTTGGCAAGCCACTTCTTAACTGTTCCCTCCTTTACAACCCCAACCAAAGCAGGTTCCATACAGCATGATGGCAACTCAGCTTCGGAAGCCAACGGGAGAGTAGCACCATGCCGAGTAACTCTTTGTCGAATCATGTGGTTCTTGAATGGTGGGAGAGGGTCGCCAGCCTTTCCAACCTGGCCAGGCTCTGAGTGAAAGTCTGACTTTTCTGTTTCTGGGGTTTTAGGAGGGTTTTCCTTGGATTCGCTATCGGAACCAGATTCAGATATGACAGATATATCATCATCGTCGAGAATTTCGATGCCACGTTTCTGAGCTCGAGCGAGAGCCCATGCGCCGAACTGGGCAACAGACCTGTACATGTATTTCGCGGGACGGGTGAAACTTAGTGTTGGTGCCACATGGCAAAGGTCATCCCAAACCTGGAGTTGAACATCGGTGGGTTTGTACTTTTGCAACAATGCCTTTCCCTCTGGGGTGAGAGCTTCTTCTGGGGGCGCATATTTTTCAGGGTTGGCACATTTGTGAGCCAAGTATATCTGCTCATCTCGTAAGATTTCCCCTCCTCCTACCATGATCAGAAGTGGAGGGAGTCCTCCGAGTGTAGGTTGCATGACTGGGCTAACAAGAGGATGTGCAAGAAGCTCGTTGGTGGTATACATCTAGGGTCATCAGTTTCTGGTCAAACTCATCTTCTACGAAACCTACCTGAATCTGGTCTTTCAGCTTGACGGGTTGCCCATCAATAGTGACAGAGAGGAGCTTTTCCGGGTTGATGGGAATTCCACCATTGATCCACTCCGATCTCGATGAAGAATCTGACGGTTCTTTCTTTGCAACTGGCGCTTGCTGCTTCTCCTTAAGTTCATGCTTGCCAGGTGTCTTCTTTCCATCCTTCTTCTTTTTCAATGCCTCTTCTCTCAACATCTTAACATCATCCTCGTTCGGCGGTGGCCATGCTTTAGACGGCTTGTGGTGAAAACCTGCCTGTGGTATATAATCGAAGGGGGCCTCGCCCGCAACGCTGGGGAACGAGTGTGTCAGGTCAACCCATGGGCTGATGAGAATAGCGCCAGCAGGCAACGGGAGTCCTTGATCGCGTAGAATACACAAGAGAGACATGACCATTCCACCGCCCGCAGAGTCTCCAGCCAAGACAATTGTTTCTGGATCTTGAACAGTAAGCAGATAGAGGTAAGCTGCAAGACAATCGTGAAGACCGCAAGGGAAGGGAAACTGCGGCGAAAGACGATATCGAGGTGCAAAAACGCGTGCTTTGAGCTTTCGAGCATGTCGCTGCATTTGATATCGATGTTCGTCAACACTACCAAAGTAGTATGCGCCTCCATGGATATACATCATGACGCGCCGCGTCTTTCCTCCTTTTTGCTTTCGCTCGTAGGCGTCTGCGCGCATCTCAATCCATTCGGCGTCGAGAGAAGTCGCAGGTTTGCGCCATTGCCACCACTTCTCGCCGCCGATTTGCTTGATACCATCTGGACCAAGTTTCTTCTGAAGAAATTCGGCGGCGCGTGTCAATTGATCTTCGGTGATGGTGACATCTTCGACTTTGACCCATTGGGGATGTGGTACCCATTGCGTGGTGAATGCTTGGAGTTCTTCAACAGTGTGGTGTGATGCATACTCGAGGAACGATCGGATCAGATGGAGACCTTCATCGTAGGAGAGATGCGCAGTTGGACGTTGTCGCAAAGGCTTCCTGTTAAAATACTAGCGGTTGGAAGTTAGTTTCTTGCAAAAAAGAAAGTAATCCCAAAGTATCAGAGGAATTGGGTTTCGTCCCCTCTACGGGCTTAGAGGTAGATTACACAAACTGATGCGTGTACGTACATGAGAGAACAAAGTCGAGACGACAGTAGGCGTCACAGCGAATGACACCGAGGTGGTGTTGAGCGAGTTCATGGCTGTCACTCACTCGAATCACCGAGTACAGACAGTACTTGTATACACAACAGAACAATCAGTGGCTTGGGGCTATTAAAGACGCGCCATGTGCCATGGCATGGAAGAGTTCAGTTCAATTCAGCTGGGAGACAGGCACAGCTGAACCCAAGGGCCAACCTAACCAATTGCGAGTAGGGGTCTCATGATGTCATTTCTTTGATGAGACGCAACCAATTCCTACCCCTGACTCCACGGAACCGGGGATGGCTGATGATGGTTCGACGGACATAACGATCTTAAACCTTTATCCTGAAGGGACGAAAGGACATGGACAAGCTTGGAATACCTTAGCTTGTGATACTAGAATGACCTCAAAAGGCATTTGTTCAATTCATCTAAGTATATCGACCAAGTATCCCAAGTCTTGTTGCTTCCATTGCTATAGAAACGGTATGTGTCTCCCTTCTGCATGCAGCGAGTGAGTCGCTGGATGAAACCTGACTTGAATTAAAGATGGCCTGTGCTTTTGGTTTGTGGGGAGATTTGCAGCCAAGAATCAAGGTCGAGAGTCTGAAGAGCTATACAGACCACAATATAGAGTTGGAAACTTGGCTGAACCAAAAAATATCGGTGACATCAAGACTCTTACAATTCGTATAGATTATCTTTATCGCGTTTCTTATTAGATAATCCTTTTGATATTAATACCAGGGACAAACCAAAATTAGGTCGCTCCCTGATGATCAAGGGACACACAGGATTGAATATGTGGGCCGCTTCTAGGCCGCAGCGGGTCTAATCGATAAAACACCAAATTTTTTATGCAGAGCCATCTTCTTCAAATTGCCCCTCCAAACCCCGCCAAAACTATCACCACAATCATGGCCTCTACAGAACCCGCACAGCTGCCTCCGGCGGGTGAGTTTAAACCCTGACTTCAGACATTCGACAGAAGCTAATCTCAAACTTCTAGCTGAACGCCAATCCGAGTTCGAGCAAGCCGTCGCATACGCCCTTCACCTATGGCCTGCCCTTACACTCTCAGTCCAGAACGGCTGGGGTGGTCCCGACTCTGCCGACAAGCGCGATTGGTTTGCCGGCGCCGTTGCCGACCTCTTCCCAGAATATACCGATACACCTCCCAAGAATGGAAAGGTTCCCGAGGATCCTGATCTAGAGGAGGTTGAGACTGTCCTGCTCCAGATCATGGTTGACGAGTTCGAGGTCAACGTCGACGACGACTCGGGTACAGAAGTTGCTGGAAATATCCTCCGTGCTCGCGCGAGCTGCACTCTCGGAACCTTTGACGAGGTCAAGACTCTGCGCACACGCTGGTTGAACCGCAAGGGGACAAAGGTTGAGGGTATGTTCAAGAAGGCTGAGGATGCCGATCAGGACACAGACTGGGAGAGCGATGAGGACGATTCAGAGGATGACGAGGGTGGTGCTGATGTCGAGATGGACGAGGCTCCCCCTCTGGTTGCGGCTCCTAAGGAGAAGCCCCAACCTCAGGTCGACGAGGATGGCTTCACGATGGTCACCAAGAAGAAGAAATAAATGCAACAAAGACATAAAAGCAAAATGGAAGAGCAATGGAACATTAAAAACGAGTTTCTGGCATTGATACCCACAAGTTACAGGCTCTGGTTCTTTCAACATGCCACAATGGTTTCACTAATTCCAAACGCCAAACTGCACAGCGACAATCCTATCCTCTCGATCATATACTGGAATTTCCAACGTCTATTCCCAGTCCTCATCGCTATCTGAATCGTCTTCGTCACTATCATCTTCCTCATCACTGCTCTCCTCCTTCTTCTTGGCGTCCTTAGGATCCTTGGGGCTATTGGGAGTCTGTGTTGTCTTGCCAGATGCTGCACCGACAACATCGTAACTAGCCTCACTGTCTGCTTGTGACTTCTCGTCGTTTGACTTGCGGGGCTCAGTTGGCTTCAAGAGGGTTTTTGCAGGTTGGGTAGTGGCGGCAGTGGTGGCAGTGGTGGCAGTGGTGGCAGAGGTAGCGGTGATAGCGGTGGTGGAGGGGGCAGCTGGGATAGTCTTGGGCTCATCCTTGGGTTCAACCTTGGTCTCAGTCTTGGTCTCAACCTTGGACTTAGCCGCAGGTGTACTGGTATCATCGGAAGCGTCAGAGTCATCCTCATCTGAGTCATCATCACTCCAGGCGACATCATCTTCAGCGGAGGCAGCTATTGATTATTAGCAAGGCACTGTTGAAAAGCCGATTGACTCACCTTTGAGAAGATCTCGTCGTCTAGTCTCAGCTGTCTCAATACCATGACGAAGGAAATAATAGCGCTTCCAGAAGTCAATGTAGGGAACCTGGTCAGGAACCAGCCTCTCCATAGTAGCTCGCAAGTCGGGGAATTTCTGTAGATCATCGTTGATTTCAGGTGTTTTCTTATCAGCATCAAAATCCTTTGACCAAGCTGCATAATCGGCACTATTGGGATCTTTTGTGAAACTCTCCGTCGATGTGTGAATAACGTGCAGTTGAGCATCAAATCTTGAAGTATGAATCACACGTTTGCCTTGAGCATCCTTACTCTCGAACAGAACGGTGCCGCTCTGGTCGGAGTCCTGTGGAGGTGCAATACTGACGGCATCACGAAGGAAGTTCCGGATATTGCCGCCAAACTTGATAAGGGCCTCATCAGCGGCATCCTCGGCTTTCTGAAGGTCCTTTATCCTCTTGGCAGCTTCAGCTCTGAGGCGAGCCAGGGTGTTCTCGGACTGCTTGGCCTCTGATGAACCATCCTGTGATGCCCTAGGTGTGGTGGCCTGATCAATCTCGGCGTCCCTGGAGCTTGAGCTCTCGCCGCCAACCACGGTGTTGAGTGAAAGATTCCTCGTATGGTTTAGAATTGTTGATCGAAGGCCAGTAAGTCCCTTTGATGCATCTTCACCTACTTCCGCCAACTCCTTGGAGGCTTGTGTATATACTGATTCGCCCTAAGCTTGTTAGACGGGCAGGGTTCAAGAGCTGAGACCTCGTACCTGCTTCACAACATTACCAAAGAAGCCACCAATCCTGGCACCCCATGGACTGTTGGAAAAGGCCTTATATGCGTCTTGGAGGTCCTCGTTCAGTGTTGACTGAGGTTGAGGACTCTTTGGCTCCTCCGTCTTCTTAGCGTAGCCATCTTCTGTGATATGATCATAAGCCAGATCCATGGCGGCCCGCTATTGTATCGTTCTTAAGCCGATTTGAGGCAAGGCTATGATTTAATGTCCCGGTATGAGGCTCTGTGAGCCTTTTAATCCGTTAAAGGTTAATTTATTCGATATCTCCTGTCGTCTTGATATCCCTTGGACTTGAAGCCTCCTTACCGCACCTGTGGCGGGGTCCAATCGCTGTTGGGCACGGGCCAATGCTCACGTGAGCTTCCTTCGACCTCTCCTGTCCTAAGTCTTTGCTACCCTGTAGCGACAACTTCTGCTAGCATTTTAGAAAATCCTTACGTGTTCTATTAACTGTCATTATCTAAAGTTATCTTTTATATAAATGTTTAATTAATTTGTCTCTAGAGACTAATGTTGCGGACTATTCTCAACAGACAAGAAAGTGTTTTCTATAATGAGGTTGTTTAGGCTCATGTCTTCCTTGGGCGCCATCGCCACAGTAAGCTTTACTCAACTCCTCACTTACAACTGTCACAACCTTATACGAACGAGTAACTCGTTAACAGCATTCAAACCAAGTTCTGTTGTCAATGACGACATATGAAAGCTTATAGAGAAAACACTTACTGGCCAAGCCTCATGATCATGGAGTTGTCCTCTCACATCTTGGTCAAGAACAAGAGCAGCTGAATCAGAACGTTATTCTGAATTGACCTTGAGTGATACCCCGCAAGCAGAGGGTCTGTCCGCAATCAATTACTTGGCGGATGCTTCTCGGTTGAGCTTAAACTTCCATTTCAGCTCACAACGCACTCGTTTAATCGGTGCCTGTCATTCAAGCTGTCACTGACGTATCTATTGCGCAAGACAAGACTGCAGACCTGGGGGAACCCTTGTTTCAGAACCCTCAGAGGATTGAGGGTGTTGATACCCTTAGAAAGTCCTCAAGGATGGACCCTTAATCCGTCATATTCCCGAACTTTATCTTATCGAATTTATCACACAGCACCCGCGGTTATCGATGATATTGTGGCATGTTGATCCTAAGGCAACCGATGGCAATGCCTTGTTTACCAACATTGACGTCGATGTATCTCGATCGTCGGCTTTACGCGGGCAGAATTTCCGTCTAAAAAGATCAGTTGACCTCGATCGCGATCTGAGAAAAAGCCTAGAACGAGCCACAGCAGACGCCAAAATGCAGCTCGACGTGTTTGGATTGGCTCCAGTAAAAGGGGCATTGGATTGGCTTTGATCTTGGATTCTCACAAGACGTGCTTTCGACAAAGTGATGCTGTCATTGTGCATGAAGACATGTGGTTTTTAGCCAATCATATAACCGTCCCTGAGCCAGGGGATCCATACTGGCAATCCTCTAGCTTTGGAGCCGCAAGTTGCCTGCAGTGATCATCAAGCTTCCCGTTCCTCGGTCTATTATCATCCAATGAGATGGAGGGAATCACAAGTCAGTCAAGACCACTCCCCGGATCGAAACAAGAGTGGGCTTTGCAGCGCTGGGCAACATATCTTGGCTTTTGGTTCCAAAATGGACATTTCCATCCTTGCGATGACGTAGTATGCTATGCAGCTTTGCAATCCAGACTGCTCCAATACCTCAACTGACGTCACACACGATCGCGATCTGAGAGGCAGCTGCAGTGCCCCTCCATCACAAGAGTGCATTTTGCTAGAGAAGTGGCAGTGATTCACTGTGGGGAGCTATCAGGAGCTACCTCCGGACCTCTCTCCGGCCTGCTCCTCGTTTGCACACGCGTGCCTGCATCTTCAACGTGAATCACGGGCAAGCAACCTTCTCTGCAAATACCTCTCCAAGCACTACTTAAACCCCTTCTCCTCCCACCTCAATCTCTTCTTCTTTCATCATCACACACTCTCATCTTCAATCAACACAAACAAACACTCAAACAACAACCAACCCAAACCACCAACCACTATCACAATGGAGTCCCTCAAGCAAGCCGGCAACTACGTCGCTGAGACCGTTCAGCAGGCCACCTCTGGTGCTTCCAAGGAGGCCAACAAGGAGGTTGCTAAGGACGGCAACGTCCCCATCTCCACCCGGTAAGCACCTCACATCCCATCCAGACTACCCACGGGTGCCTCAACACCACGAGTACATCTTGAGCCTCACTCAAGCACACTCAACACAACTACATCTCATTGGAACAACATCTTGCTAACATCTCTCTCCAGTGCCACCGCTGCCAAGGATGCCCTTGGTGACAAGATCGACGAGACCACCCACGACAAGAAGGCCGACGCAAGTCTTCCCTGAACTACAATCGATTAGACTATACAATGCTAACCGAATCCCACAGGTCCACAAGGAGGCCATCTAAGTTTTTCACCTCAGTCTCCAGTATTTCAGGATCGACATGAGAACAACATGAATCGACATGAATCGGAATGGCGTTGAAAGGGAATAGCGTTGGGACTACATAGGCTGTATTTACCTACACCTAATACAAACAGTCAAACATCGGAATTATTTGAAAGTGCAGAGCGAAGTGAACAACTTGTGATTTTATACTCGAAAGACAACCTCCCCTAAACGCAATGGGCGTCAGTCATGAAGACTTGATTCGATTTGAATATGTCAAAGGCGAAACAAGTATCAGAACAAATGAAAGGACATAACTTCATATCGTCCCTTTCCACGTTATCTTTAGCTTCGGAGTCGAGGATTGCGCCAGCTGGGGCGGGAGATGTAGAACACACCTCTGCACCAAAGACTGGCTAGACTGACGAAGCGTGCTTAGACATTGTCGAATGTAAGGATTTGGAGCAAGTAAACATGCGACCTAAGTTTAAAAAGATAAAATAGACTCCACAAAAGGTATCCTAAACTCATCCTAAATTTCCAATAAGTTACCTAAATCTCGTCATCAGTTAGGCTCTAGGTCCCGAATCTTATTCCTCCCGTAAGATGTGTCCTCTCACTACCTTAGTAGGATGTAGTTCTTCAACGCGTACCATAGTGGAACGAGCTAATTTGTAACTTACTGAATTCTCTCTTATCACTGTGCTTCGTCTCTTAGCAACTTTATATCCACAGACTTTACCATCATTAGCCCTATGTTGGTTCATATTATGCTGTCCGTGAAAGCTTCCTGGAAGTTGACAATGGTTATCATCCTCGTCTCAGCCTCTTGTACCTCATGCACCGTTTGCGCTGAATCTACGTCCGAGTCATAGCTCTTCCAACTCATACTTTCGTGCCTCGAATCGGTCAGTCTCTTGTGAGGCAGACTACCTGCACGCGACCAATGTTTCAACATGACATTCTGCCACCACTGGTATAAACAGCATGATATGTGTTGCTTAATATCCACCTCGGCCTCCCAGCAGGGCAACTCTATCTCAGACGACGGGTTCAAAAGACTACAGTACACACA